TATATATTTACATATCAAATTCCTAGAACGACAGCAAATTTTCTGAAGATATATATAAAAATAGTTATGTTTAAAAAAAATACTATTATTTTTTATACTTCAATTGGGCATTTTTACAATAGTATTTCTTGAATGTCTTTTGCAGATCAAATCCGATATTTACATATTATATTATTCTCATTGATGTCTACAGCTATATATACTTTTTTATGTTTTTATAAAAATTTATAAACTTTATAGTTTTTCATGTAATTAGCACAAATATTGTTTTTATGTTTATGCGTGTGTTATTTGTAAAATTATAACTTGAGTACAGATATATTATAGACTACCATATTGTTTCACGTATTTTAATATACATTGGTATAAAATTAATTATGAAAATGTGCATGAGTAATATTTAAATATTATAAGGTAACTAATAATGTATATAATTAGCATACTCATTGTTGTACCAATTCCTTTTTTTTCTGTATATCATATTATTTTTGTTATGATTTCATATCTGAATACATTACGCACAAGCGTAGAAAAACTCATTTATTGTTAAAAATGCTTATACATATATCTCTCAACATTATGTATGAAATTGCAAGAATTATGCTTATTAAGTATATATACATTATTGCTCTCTAAATTCCTTTCAACTTTTTTTAGAACTGTATTGGAATTAATCTATATAATAAATCTTACATAGCATATTATCCATTTTTCCTTTTAATATATACATATCTTTATCATTAATATTTCCTCTTAATATTCGAAACTATGTAGTTTATATTTTCTTATGCAATTGCACAAGAAAATATGTTTTCACAAATTTTAATTTAATATTTGTTATGACTTGTTTATCATTTGTTTTCACGTATTAAAAAATTTCCAACATTTGACCTAAAATTCAGCATAATAAAGTAGGGAAATTAACATACCTTTATAAAAATTTGTTTTATTGTAAGTTTTAAAAAAAAATGTATATACGTCATATAAAAGTTAGTAAATAAAAATTTTAAAAAAATGTCATCTAACAGATTTTAAAAAATTATAATTCCTGAAGTTTTATTAGTAATAGAAAAACTATTATAGTAATTTATATCACTTTGAATACAACTTATGTGTCACTTAAGTAAATGCTCTATTTTAAAACAAACATTTTATATTATTATAACTAAAATAGAGTGCCGTACAGGTAAAATATTATGTCAATATATTAAACAAAATAATATACATAATATGTTCTACAAATCAGTGTATAAGAGTAAAATTTTTATGTATAAATGGATGGACTTAAATATGCACTACTTTATAATTTTTTCGGTGTATATTGATACTTCTTATTAATGGTTTTTATAAAATTATATAGTTGATTTTAGAAAAAATACGGGACAATAACTATTAGTTTATTTTAAAAAAGAAATGTTAAATAAATATATGTATATGTATTTAATACATTAATTTAGATAAAATTTTCTAGGATTATCCTACAAGAAATAACAAAATGACCCTCTTTATTAAATGGGAGTATAATAACTATTACAAACGTAAGGAAATATCATTATACAATATATATTTATATGTTATTTGAAAATAATATATATTATAACATTAATATTTTTCAATCTATATTTATAATATTCTAAATTACCGTTTAGAATATATGTAATATATATGAAGTAAATAAAAATTTATGTGTTGTAAAAAAATAAGAACCTTTTTTATATTCATTATCATTATCCTAAAACTCATAATTGAGTTAGGGGTATTATAAAAATAATGCAGAAGAGAGGCAGTACTATTCAAACTAATTTCATTTCTACATATTCCGTAAGGTTATCAATAGTAATTGTTCTAACTGTTTCCTAAAAATAATTTTTTTCAGAGTGCATGCATGTAAATATCATAATTGGATTTTTTTTTAAAAATACTAAAAAAAAAAAACATTATTTACAGAAAAGCGTTCATAAGTTTCGTTATATATATATCATATTTATTAATTCTTATTTAACTTATTTTGTGAATATGAATAATTATATGCAAATATTGTTCACATAGTCATATTATATGTAGCAAACAATAATACCACACAAATATAATTACCTATATATTTTTTTTTTCTAATTGTCACATATAATAAAATGGTCATTTTTATAATAAATTACGATTAAAAATAATAGTGTATTAATTTTTTTTGTTAATAAAAAATTTTTATTATTGTAAATTTTATTTTAATAATGTAAATATTAAACTTATTGAGAATTTTTCTATGTCTTATATAAATAAATATGTAGAGCATTATTAATAATATTAAATTCTCATTATTTTATAATTTATGAAACAATTAATAAATCCTTTTATAACTTTATTAATTTAAAAATATGTTATATAATATATATTTATATATATATTTAAAAATAGACTTTAGTAATTTTTATTTTAAACAAAGAACAACAAATGATCCCGTTGTAATATGAACAGATCAAGATTTTTTTTAAAATATGTAGAATTATATAATTCATTTATTATAACTGTTAGCAACTAATAATTTTTCTATTAACTCTGTACTATTTTTAATATATGTAACATATACAGTGTCCATTAAAAGTAAAAAGTATGATTTTTTTTGTTTTTTTTTCAACTTATTCCATTATTTGCTTAAATAAATATTACTAGAATAACATTTTAATTTATAATTTTTTTAACAATAAATTTATTCAGAACTTATTTATAATTCAGCTAAATTTTATTAGAATGCCCCATTGTATTTTATATATTTTTTCAAATTAAACGTTAACAAAACTATTTTTTGTTTTCCACTGTAAATTCTATTAAAAAAAAAATTTGACATATAAAATTTTTAATGTTATTAATTAAATATTTGAAGCATTAATAACATATAGGTCTACAATAATTAAAAACAGTACTGTCCTCATAGGTTTTAAATATATAAATTGTTGCCTTATCCTTTTATTATGGAATATATAATAAACTAATGAAGAATACAATGGCAGCAAAATTTTCTATGTTTCAACGTTTTATTAGAATTCTTGCAATTTTTCTTTTCGTAGAAGCATACCATTGTCACAAGGATAATGTAAAAATATAATATTTCAAATTTCTTAACTTGTTTAATGATTTTTATTTTTTTTTTTTTTAACATAATCTCTTATTATTACAGGCAATATTTTTACAACCAAAATTTTTTTATATATATCCAATTTTAGGCGTATCTTAATAAGTCAGCTTATAATGTAAATATATTCGATAATCCATTTAACTTAAAGGAAAATAAGTTATTATCAATATCTGAAGCAAAATGTCATTCAACAAATGATTACATAGAAAATAGACAAACGAGTGAAGAGGATGTGCCAAAATTAATGATAAATAAACTCTTCAAAAAAAAGAGCACCTTAAAAAAACTGGATAAGCACTGCGAAAAAAAATTATTCAAGGCGTTTAGCGAAATACACAACACTATGCAAGATCATGACATGCCTTTAAACAAATCTCTTAAAAAAATTTTAAAAACAGTTTTTTTTATATTGACTACACCTATGATTACATATTTGGTGGGATGTTTTTTCTTATTAAAGGGATTAGAATGGAAAATAAATTTAATTAATATTTACTTTTTTTTTTGTGCTTTATCTATATGTATCCTTATATATATTTTCGTAAAACTTTTAAAGCGCGACGTAGTAAAAAAAGGGAGATTTAGACCAAGATTTCATGATTACTTTTACTCTTTAAAAAATATATATAAATATAATTAGTTTATATGATACTTTAAACATTTGCATGATATCAAATATTTAATGTTAATTTTGCGCATCTTTAGCGTCTGCGCCTCCCTATCTCAAATCTTGTAATTTTACTCAAACAACGTTAATATATATATACATATATA